TCACAAAGCTTACTGCTGTTTCTTCTCTGTTGGACGACAGTGACGATTTCGACAGTCAGTTCCATGGATGCCTTGCAGCCTGTATCTTCCGTTCAGAATATGGACTTCACCACCACTTCCACTGGAGAATCTCTTAACTCTTCTGCAGGTTAGTATATATTAGCCGCCACCTCCAGCTGATAAATTTAAGTTTGGGATTCTGTTTTTTTTTTTTTTTTTTCCAAAAAAATTAGGTATTCTTAGGACTTGACCGTCATGTCTTTGGTTCTTATGTGTTTTTTCGTTAGGATTTTAGCAAGAATGCTTGCAATATGTTAATTTGAATCTGTAGCCTTTTCTTTGTATTGAAAATTAACCGGCTTGTTGAATAAGATTCTGAGCAATAGTTGAACACAGTTGTTTAACCAATTGTGATATCACATCTTTTCTCTTGTTTAGAATTTTTTTTTAAAAATTTTCCTAGTATTCTCGAGGTCTAAGTAGTTTCTTCTGTTGGCAACTTAGATTGGGCAGGGTTACAAAGGGACTTTTTGGAGTTAGACAAAATAAAGAAACAGTGCATGATCAAGACATCTTGTTCTCGACTTCCCTTGCTGTTGATTCCAAGCAAAGAAAGTAATCAGGAAAGGTGCTTATACGATGTTGTCCAAGATAAAGTCTTGGATTTCAAATTACAAGTAGCTTACAGCGAAAGATTTTGTGGTTCCTCCCATGGTTGGCTGATTAGTTTGGATGAAACCCTAACTATAACCTTACTGAATCCATTCTCTAACAAAACCATCAAACTTCCTCCCATAGAATTTGAGCACTATCCCATTGAATCTGATGAAGAGCTTGCAGAAATTGAAAAACCTAATTACCCGTATGACACATTAATCAAAAAAGCAATATTATCAAGGGATCCTGATTTATTTTCAGATTATGAGCTTGCGGTGATACATGATGGATACATCGGTATGGGCAAACTAGCACTTTACAAGTCAGGTGAGGGAGCATGGACTTACCTCTCGGACCATCCAGAAGTGAGTCTATTTCATGACCTTATTTATTATAAGGGTAGTTTCCATGCTATAGACCATTGGATGGGTATTGGAAAGATTGATGCAATTAATTCCAGTTCGGATGTTTCACCTAAAGTCAGTCTGGTAGCACCACGAGCACTGTCAGCTCTTCATGATGTATATGCTCAGAGGCGGAGCCAGAAATTTTTTTCAGGGGGGGCAAGATGCAAGAAATTTTTTTCAGGGGGGGCAAGATGCTAAAATTTTCAAAGTTCAAGAAGAGCTAAATAATTTTTCATATACTAATTTATAAATTTTTCAAATTTCAGGGGGGGCGAGCGCCGCCCCTCGCACCCCCCTGCCTCCGCCACTGTATATGCTACATATTTGGTGGAAGCATCTGATGGTGGTCTACTATTGGTTCGAAGAAATTTTGGAGATGAAAACGGTGAATATGAACCGGATGACCAATATCTTCCAGGAAACATTGAAGATGATATTGGTAGTTCTTTTACCACAAAATTTAGAGTTTTCAAGCTGGTAGAGCTGGGGGATAAACAGTCATCTGAATTGGTTGAGATCAGTGATATTGGTGAAAATGCAATGTTTTTAGGTGATAACTATTCAACATTAGTCTCGACTCATGATTTCCCTGGTGTGAGGCGCAATTGCATGTACTTTGTGAACGATGATTCTGATCCCTATTTTAAGCCTCTGGATGCAGGTATCTTCAATTTAGGCGATGGAAGCATAACATCTCATTATATTCCAGAAAACACAAAAGAGCGACGATATGCAAATTGTGTTTTCTCAGAAAAGTTGCATCCACCTATGATATGGATTTTGCCAACATTGATTGGAGACTTGGCCTGAATTAAATCTAGTGTTAGTTTTGCTAAGATATATTCGACTTTCTTATTGTTTATGCGTAAGAATTTTGTTAGATTAAATAATTTTGTCAACTCCTAATTTCTATTTCCATTAATTGAGATCAAATATTCTTTATTAAGTCCATATATTGTAGTTGTTCTTTTAATTATATATATTTTTTCTACTGAGTTAAGACTTAAGACACTTGTTAAAAGCTTTGAGAAAATATATTTCAAGTCACTTGTTATATATCTAATCTTGTTTTCATTACAATGTTATGCTGTTAGGCACACAAATTTATATATCACTAATAACAATTTAGATACTGTATGTAACACAAGTAAATGTAAAAGTAAATAAATAAAATCTGTAATGGTGACTAAATCGTCAAAACTGTTTCCCTTAGGCAGAGGTTGCTTGTGGAAAGAAAAGTAACAGAACAGAACAGAACAGAACATCCAAAGCACCAAAGTTACATTTATAAGGTCCCTGCCTTCTTGACTTCCCCGCAGCATTATCGTTGGGTCTCCTGCAAGAGAATTCCAATATCCTATGTCAATTCACATTCAGACACTTGCATATTCTTCTAATTAGTTTAAGTTAACCTTAGAAAAATAGGAGAAAAAAACAGAGAAGACAGAAGGAGGTGGAGCTCGAACTTAAATGCAGTCAATTGGGCTAAGACTTGGTAAACGGGCGGGGCGGGTTGGGTTGGGTTGGGTTTGCATCGGGCCATAACAGCCATGGTCAAAATGAATTAAGTTAAAATGGGTAACGGGTCAAAAAAGACTAACCTTAACCCATCATCACGAGTCATGGATTAACCTGCAAGTTGATCCAATTGAATTTTTTTTTTATAATTTGTATTTATTATCATCCAAAGAAAATTATTCAGAAGATTTAAAAATGAAATTTATAATCATATAAAAAGATTTTTTTTTATTAATTTAATAAAATATATTTACAATTCTTCCAAATCACATTCTCTCATTTCCTTCGAAAAACAACACTAACACTACACACCTATTTTTGCTAAGAAAATTAATTAGCTAATTAAAAAAAATTAATCAATTATTAAAAGTTTAGGTGGGATTGAGAATTGAAAAACAAAATAAATAAATAATAAATTAAAAATTTTTATATTTTTAAATGGATAAATAGATCAAGCTCGTTAACTCAATAGGTCAATTTATTATTAACCCGTGACCCGTCGGATTTTTTTAACAAATCACGTATCATAAATATCTGATTCTAACCCGTTTTAAACGGACAAGTAGCGGGTGGGTTAATGGATTAGGTAACAATTTGTCTGATTTAACTCAATTAATATTATCTCTAGTCTTCATTAGATATTCTGACACAACCAAAGATAGAGAAATAATACAGTTTAATTATCAAGCAGATTCCACTATCATTAACTAAATAAAAACCTAAGGATATGCAGAAAGAATAAATTTCGAAGAACATCTCTCCCAGTGTTGAATTTTGGGGATTTATTTGGAAACTTATGTGAAGCTAGAATAGAATTTCCAATTTTAATCTTCTCTACTCTTTCTTTTTTTTTTTTGGAACAAAACGAAATTCTCCTTTTTCTTTTCAAGCTTAAGATCAAATGTTAAGAGGAGAGGACAAACAAAGTAACCAGTTTTTCTGTAGCTAAAATTGAATAGAAGCATTTTGTGCAATCGAAGAAAAGGAAAGCTAAAAAATGGAACGGAAAAGGGACATCAATTGGCACACCGAAGCTTGCTGCCGGTATGAACTCAAACTCCAAAAACTCATGCCCGAACTTCCCCTCATGCTCAACAGAGAGCCTGAGTTAAAACTCCCCCTTATCATCCTGTTTGAATGCTTGAATGGTCTGGTCGACGTATGGAATAGTTTCCCTGTTTTTTGGTTGGGCGAGCTTTGTCTGTGTTTACTGGTGTGTTTGTGCTGTTTGGTTAAGTATTTGTGGTGAATTGTTGTGCGTAACAGGTTGGAGTACTCTTATACTCTTCGGCAATAAACTCTTGCTGTTTTGATATAAAAAGAAAAAAAAAAAGGAAAAAAAAATTATCACATCCAATTTGAACACCGACTCACACAACTCAAGAACTCTAATTAAGAAATTAGCTAAACGGAACTTGTAATTAGGCACGCTTCCCACACACCACGGGGGAAAATTGATTTGGTTACAAAGGCTCCTTTACAATATGTATACTTCCTAATTGCACTCTGACACGTTATAATATTGCATAACGTTCTGTATTCATGTATTTTATTGCTTAAGTTTTAGGTTTCTCCTTTACAAGCTTGTATATATATTAAGAGCCCTTGTATTATTTCCTAATATGAAGAAAAGCATTCTTTTGCACATCTTTAATCCATGGCATCCATAATGCAAACTCTCCTTACTTTGTTGCGGTCATTATTTTTGTTTTTGATTAAGTACTTATCGCTATCATCATTAGTAATCGATCAGTCTGTAATGGAGTGTTAAAACAAACAATTATACAAGTCTTTAATTTTGAAGAATAACTTGTTAACAAGTTGAAGAAATTCGATCAAGCACTAGATAAGCCCCAAAGCGAGCAACTTCCTTTAAAATTAATTGATATCGGATTTTCACACTTAACACTACTGATGTTCAATTTTAAAGAGTACATGATCAGGAAGGCAAAAAGGGTCAACAAGCACTAGATGAGGCAGTACCCTTGCAACATCCAGTGAAGGTTCATGAAGCAATGAGATACTCTCTCCTTGCAGGGGGTAAGCGTATCCGGCCGCTTCTCTGTATTGCTTCCTGTGAATTAATGGGAGGGAAGGAGACCTTAGCGATCCCGATGGCCTGCACGGTAGAGATGATACACACAGCATCACTCATCAGTGACGACCTTCCTTGCATGGACAATGATGATCTAACGCGCGGCAAGCCGACCAGCCACAATGTCTATGGGGAGAAGTTTGCGGTTCTCGCAGGGGTGGCCTTCTTTGCCTCGCTTTCGAAAACTTAGCGTCTAAAATGGTGAATGTTTGATCGGAAAGACTGCTTCGAGCCATTACTGAGGTAAGCTTGGCAATTGGATCAAAAGGGTTAATGGGAGGGCAGATAATGATCTTGAGAGTGAGGAGAAACGATGAGCTTGGAACAATTGCAGTATATTAATATGCATAAGAATAAGACTGCTAGGCTCTTAGAGGCATCGGCTGTTTGTGGGGCTATAATAGGAGGGGGAAGTGATGAAGATGTAGAGAGGGCAAGGAGCTATGCGAGGCGTATAGGGCTGTTGTTTCAGGTTGTGGACGACATTCTAGATGTTTCCATGTCGTCGGAAGTGTTGGAGAAGACGTACGGCCAGAAAGGACTTGGTGAGTGATAAGGCCACTTATCCGAAGTTGATGGGTGTCCATAATGCCAAGAAGTTTGCTGGTGAACTGGTGGTTCAGGCCATTGAAGAACTTGCCTGTTTTGATACCGCCAAGGCTGCTCCTTTGTACCATTAAATTTAGCAAAATTTATCGCTAATAGAGACAATTAGTACACATTGTAAAAAGAGAAGCCCTTGATTCTTGATACTTTTCACTCATGTAATTGTAGTAATAATCTCTTGATTGTATTTTCTATGAGAAATTTATGCAAACTAGGATTGAGATGGAGTGAGAGATTTGGCACTATTATGTAAGATCTCATAAGGTACATATATATATATATATATATATATATCTTTTTCTCTGCTTTAGGCTAAAGTTTTGGTGACAATAATTTGTCATCACATGAAAATATATGCTATATCAGTTGAAAATCAAGCAAGAAAAACAAGGAAATATTTGTTTTATTTCCTTCACATTATTGCATCCATGATAAATGTGTTAGTTTAGATTATGCTGTAAAAGGTAATTATATTTCTCTCTATCAAAATATGTAGTAATTTTATGATCTAGAATTTGTCCTCCCATTGCACTTGGCCCTTCGGCCAACTGACAACCTGCCAGCTTGAAGTGCATTCCTCTCCCTGAAACCCGTCCTTTGACAACTTGTTCAAAAAAAAAAAAAAAATTTGTCCTCCCATTGCTATTTATAAACTAATTTCAAATTAATATTACGTGTTCTATTAATTATAAATTAGTTGGTACTAAAAATCAAACTAAATAGAGCTCAATATTTATTTTATATTTTAGTCTTATATTATTATCCCTTAACTTTTACTATGCATCTCCTATCATCAAATTTTCTAACACTGTAAGTAAAAATCATAAGTACCAAAACCACTAATAGTACTATTACAGACGGAGAACCTTACTTGATCTTATTTGTTTTGTTCACATGAATACACTAAAAAAACACACTTTCAATTGCAACACTCATGCAAAACATTTTAATTGAGGATATCATAAATATTATTTTAATATAATTTTAGTACAAATTATCATAATAAAAAATCTTGTAAAAAGGCAATTTTTTTGTAGTAATAGTTATTTAAGAATTTTTTTTATGTTAATAATAGTTTAAAGTCTTATAAGTCAAATTTAAAATTTAAATTTTAATCCAATATTTAAAAAATTAATTTCTTTAAAACACATTTTTAAGATTGTCAACAAGCAAAATCTGATCCAAAAATACTATGATTATTATTATTATTATTATTTTTAAAAAGACCTTCCTTTTGACCATGCCACAGCATTTTTAGGAGTACTTTTTATTATTATTATTATATTTTTTTTTTTTACAAAGAGAGTCATCAGTTACATGCATAGGACAAGAGACTCGTGATTTGCATGTGTTTATTATTATTATTATTATTATTTAACGCTACAATTTCTTGATCATAAGGAATAGTTTGCAGCTTGCAGCTGACTTATGAAAGCTTTTAGGAATTAAACACCGGCCGATTTTCTTCTCTTCCCGGTAAATTGGGCATTCACGATAACGCCAGGTGATGTGTGTCCATAAATTCCAAAAAGTTCGCCAGAGAACTGGGACTGGTTCAGGCCATTGAAGAACTTTCCTGTTTTGATACTGCCAAGGCCGCTCCTTTTTGTACCATTTAACAAAACATATGGCTAATAGAGAGAATTAGTATATACATTCTAAAAGAGAAGACCATGTTCTTTATAATTTTCACTTAGATTGTAGGTTTTTCATTTCTTTTTAAGAGTCCTAAGGAAATTGTGTTGTGTTACTGGTTTTTTATTAACTTGTTTGCTTCGAGAGCAAAGAAGTGGAGGAAAAGAGGGGTAATTATTATAATTGATCAAATTACTTAGTTAATTTAATAATATATATTAATTAGTAAAATAATTAGTTAAAATAAGACTACATCTCCTCTATTTTCTTAAAATTTATAAATGAGGAAAACAATTAAAAATAAAAGGGAAAATTAAGATGTTTTGATATTAAGAATATCATGAATTTCAATCACTACTATTAAATATATAAGATATGATGTGGGTGTTGATTTTATTAAATTTATCGTATAATTATTATTGAACATCTAGACACTTTTAATGTCAAAATGTCTTAATTTTTCCCTTTTTAATAATTAAAACCATCTTTATTTTTTTTATTTTACTTTTTCAAAAAAATACTAATGGTTATAAGTGTTTAGTAATTTAATTTACACTTATTGCAAAATATTGTTATTATTAAATAGAAAAGCCTTATCTATTATCAAAATTTTCTTTTAATCTAATAATTCATATTTTATAGTTGATTATCATAAGACTTTTTTAATATATGTCTTTAAAATTTAATTATTACATCTTTTTAACATTAATTAATATTAAAAAATATAAAAATTATCATCAATTTTATTACCATCACTGAATTATTTTAATTAAATAATTACTTAAATAAAAATTAAGTTTTATTTTTTTAATATTAATTAATATAAAAATATAATAATTACATTTTTATCTTAAAAAAAATCCTTTATCATATGATATTGCTAAGACAAATCTATAAAAATGTTCGTTAAATTTTATTTGTGCCACCTGATTTCCGTAAATTTTCAAGAATCGAGAAGGAAGATTAACTGTGACTCCGCTAAAATTAGTTGCAACGAAAGTGACTTCCATGTCAAAACCAAATTAATAATAATAATAATAATAAATAAAAGAATAACCAAATTAAATAAAGGAGATGCATGTAATTGAATTGCAAAGGTTGGAAATTTGGGGATTAGATTTGTAGCGGCAAGTGCTTCCTTGCTGCCATATTTTCTCGCAAGATCTGTAGATTCCACATGTCGAGTGAGAGAGCCATCGAACTCTGCAAGGCCGCTAACGGCCTCGAAAAGGTCATCCTCCGCGACGCACGAGGCAGCTCCGCCGAGGTAACCCCTCCGATGCACCTTTCTCTTATCTTCTCCCCGCGCCGCGTATTCTTGCACTTAAGTTGGATTTGATCTGCACACTCCTCTTAAAAATTTCTCTAGAAAGTAGGGCAATTAGTATCCAGAATTTGATCTTTCTCGGCGTTTCTCTTTTTAATTGGCCTCTTGAGAATCATTTGATTTCAGTAGATTAGCTTGCGGGAACTTGCTTGTAGCAGATTAGCTCAGATTTGAGTTTTAATGCAGACAGTTCTTATTTCAGTGTTAAGTCTTATTGTAATGTGTAGAATTGCATGGAATTAAAATGGGAAAACTGTTTAATCATACTCTCATTTCACACTTATTTGTGGATTTCATTTGTGCCGAACACACTCTAAATCTTGATATGGATTTGCTTCCAAGAGATATTCCTCGAAAGAAAATTATACAGTAGACATCATGAACATGTTTACTCATGAATTTTATGCTATTGTATCATAATTGGTGTCATTCATGATTCAAGAATCTGCCTAGCTCTAGCTTCTTTTTTTTCTTTTTTTTTTCCCTCAAGCTGTTCAGTGCTCCTTAATTGGTATCTTAGGGTATATTTGTTACAGATCTCTATTGTAGCAAGCTGTTAGTAATCAGTTGCAGAACCAATTTTTCAAGTGCTTTCATATATATGTACATATATATATATATATATATATATTTGTGCTTGATTTGGTTAATTTGAAATGATGGTTGGTGCATCTATTGTCTTCAATAGTCTGCCCTCCTGGAAATTATTTCCTCCATTTTCATCCTGCTTGTGCTCCTTCAACTGTACCTGTAGTTTATTCTTTTGCAGCTTGGTATTTATTTAGATGTTGGATTTGACAGGTTTATTTGTATGGAGGACAAGTGACATCTTGGAAGAATGACCATGGGGAGGAGTTGCTTTTTGTTAGTAGTAAGGTGTTATTAACTCTTTTGATACCCTTTTTAATTTACTACTTACTAGTGTATGACAGGGGGAACCATGGTTTTTTCAGTAATAAGGTTCTATCATATTTTTCCATTTATAAGTCCTTTTGAATTCTAAGTGGATAGAACCTGTTTAGTAATTGCATTCTCTTTCCCACTGACATTCTTTCTATCCTTTTAGTACAAGATCAAGCCTTTTGTTATTTCCCTAAAAAATGGCACTATAAAATGCCTTGTCTAGTATTGCTGGCAAATATACTATGCTTATTCTCCTTCCTCTTTTGGGTACTTATTTGCAGATAAATAAGCAAGAATCTTTTTTCCTTTGGCCATAAGCAAGAGTCTTTCTGTTGCAATGCATGTTTACTACATTTTTGTCTTTGTTGTGCCTTTTTTTCTATTTTTTGTCATAAGCATTTTCTTTATTTATTTGCATCTACACTATATCCCCATTATGCTTTACTTGGACAGCAACTGGCTAAATTGGCATGTTACTAAAAATTAATATGTGTATTGTGTTCTTCAGGCAATCTTCAAGCCACCAAAGGCAATTCGTGGAGGAATTCCAATATGCTTCCCTCAAGTATGCTCTTCTGATATAAATTTCATAATTGATTTTGTTTTATTCTGCTCATGTTGGTCTCTAAAAATTTCTGTATATATGCAGTTTTCAAATCACGGGTCTCTTGAGCAGCATGGATTTGCTAGAAACAGGTTTTGGAGCATTGATACTGATCCACCTCCTCTTCCAACAAACTCATCTAGTCAGGTTCATATTGATTTGATCCTTAGGCCTTCTGAAGAAGATATGAAGATCTGGCCCCACAGGTGAAATACTTGAAATCTCTCTATCACTTTCTGGAGCAGCAAACTTCCTTTGTATACTTTAGAAATCTTTTATTTATTTGGATTTACATTCCTTTCCAGTTATGAGTTCCGTCTGAGGATAGCTTTAGGACCTGGAGGAAATCTTATGTTGATATCTCGAGTCAGGAATACCAATACTGATGGAAAGCCATTTACATTCACATTTGCATACCACACCTATTTCTCTGTTTCTGACATCAGGTAATCAATTGTCTGCTTTCTGTTGTGTCTGTGAGTGAAATTGTTGCTTAGGGATAGTAATGCAGATGTGTTGTATATTTTACAATATATAACCTGCTTGTCTTTCCTGATTTGTTGTGTCTTAATTCTTGTGATCGGTAGTTTCGAGAGTCAAAAACTATCAAGTAGAGTTTGTTTGCAATAATGCAAAGGGAAAAAAAAAAAATCTAACATCTAATGTGGTGGTTTCTTTCCTCATTTTTGTTTCCATATAGGCTGCTTCTAAAACTGCTTAGTTGCTTGTTTTTAGTGAAGTTCGTGTTGAAGGATTAGAGACACTTGATTATCTAGACAACTTACAGAATAAGGAGCGCTTTACTGAGCAGGGAGATGCGATAACATTTGAATCAGAAGTGGGTTCATATTACCATTCATCTGCATCCCTTACTTCATGCATAGGCTTCTTTATTCTTTTGTTAATTTAGTTGTGATTAACAGGTTGACAAGATATACCTCAGCACTCCTACGAAAATTGCTATTTTGGACCATGAAAAGAAGAGAACATTTGTAATACGCAAAGATGGACTTCCAGATGCTGGTTTGCCCATATACTTTCTTATAAATGTTGATGCCATTCATATATGGAGAGGGGGGTGAGGCTTGGATTAAAGCTTTTAAGCATTCAAGTGATCCCTGTTTTAACTTTAAATATACGTTATGATATATTTGGCTTCACTCATGAATAGATGAACTCTTTAGTCTCTTCTTGTGTCTGCGCTTTTGAAGTGAGTGAAAGCCCTGGGCTTTACATCTAATAGATATGAGAGTCCTAAATTTCTGAAGAATGACCCAGGGAAGAATAAGATTGGAAATTTTTTAATAGGAGTAAGCTTGGTGGCTTATGCTTGTGAACTGATTTGGAAATTTTCTTCAAAGTTTATTGTACTGAGTCATCTGAAACTCTTCTTTTCTTCTTTTGTGCAGTGGTATGGAATCCCTGGGATAAAAAGGCAAAGGCGATGGCTGATTTTGGAGATGATGAATACAAGCATATGCTGTGTGTGGAGGCCGCTGCTATTGAGAAGCCTATCACACTAAAACCTGGTGAGGAATGGAGAGGAAGACAGGAACTTTCTGCTGTTCCTTCCAGTTACTGTAGTGGGCAACTTGATCCTCAGAAAGTTCTGCAATGTAGCTGAAAGAATAAGATCTGTCATTCTAGTCTATATCTGTACAGGTAATTTGACCGAATGTTAATAACAGGCACACAAAAAATTCTACATATTTTGTTTCATGCTACACTTCCATCAGATTTATTTATTTATTGCATTAGATCTACACAACACTAGAATATTTGGTATAGGTTTAGTTTATGATTGTTGTACATCTTAAATTTTTTAATGTTTTTTGGTGGAAAAAATTTTGAATGATTTGATCATAGGAAATACCACTATGTTCCAATAATTTCACCAGATTATATTGTCATGTTAACCTCTTAACATATACTTGTTACATTAACTATGACATTTTCTAAATGATGATGGAAACAACTAATAGCCACTGAAAATGAGATGCTCCTTAAACTGGATCCAAAACCATCACTCTTAACTCATGCTTGGAGAGGCATTGCCCCTGATGTATGCACTTGATTATTTCTTTTCTCACTTTGTAGGGTGGTAACAAAATATATGACTAAAAATTTTTTATCTTACATTTTACAGGTATGTTTATGCAACATGTGGATGGATTGTAACAGTGAATCCTGGCCCACATTTTTAATTGGTTACCTCTTGAATTTCCCTTGGTTAAAGGGTGGATTCGTGAGTTGCTAGGACTTGTCAAATAATGTTGCTTCTAATGATACTGAATTTCTCAAGCAAAATACTGTCAAATTGGGTAACCGTTTAAGGTTGTGTTAGTTGTTGAAGTGGTCTAAACAAAAGGGCTTATAGGGGGGTCAACGTTTCCTACTACTATGGTGGATGTGATTTGATGTGCAAAAGTTCTATTATCCCTTTCCTATCTCTCCGTATACTACCTGCCTTTAATGTGAGAAAAGGCAATTGTTTCTGTTCCTTTTCAATAGCCGCTATTAGAGGCTGTTGTTATTTTGAGCTGCAAAAGAGGCAGGCAGCTGCCTGAACAAGCCTGTATTTTTACTTTATATGAATAATACTTGTCAAGTTTAGTTCTGTTTTACATGCTTCATGGTTCATGCTTATTCTCTTAGAATGAAATGCAAACTATAAATGTGCTCGCCGGCTGCTTATTTGTCTATAAGTAAGTCTGAAAAATTCCAGGGTCACCATCTATAAGTCAAACGTGCTTTCCAGCTGCTTTATTTTATTTGTCTCAATTGTATCATCAGAATTTTCTATAAATAGAGAATGTCAAAACTTAATAATGCAGCGTAACATCGGAGTTAAGGGACATAACCTTCGAGTGATGCAAAGCCAAAGTTTAATTATCGTTCCATTCATTCTTCTTCCTCTCTTCTTAACTTCTGCGTCTGCTCAACTCTCCCTCAACTTCTACAGCAAAACATGCCCTAACGTTGAGTCATTAGTCCGCTCGGCGGTTCAAGAGAAGTTCCAGCAAACTTTTATCACAGCTTCTGGAACTCTTCGACTCTTCTTCCATGATTGCTTTGTTCGAGTAATTAATAATATTTCTAAATCGGTTAAATTGCATCCATCTTTTCCCATCACTTGAAAATTGTACTAATGGTGGAGCTACGGACTTGGTAATGAATCAGGGATGTGATGGCTCCGTGTTGCTGGCATCGCCAACTAATCAGGCTGAGAAGGATAGTTTTGATGACCTTTCGCTCGCCGGAGATGGATTCGACACCGTGATCAAAGCAAAGGCAGCTGTTGATGGTAATCCTAACTGCAGAAACAAAGTTTCATGCGCAGACATTCTTGCCTTGGCCACTAGAGATGTCATCAATTTGGTATGACAGTGTGTCATATCCCACTTAGGACATGTACTTCAATTAGCTAGATTAATGATCAATCTTCGGATTTAAATTATGCAATTAATATTGCAGACAGGGGGACCATTTTATCAAGTTGAATTGGGGAGACGCGACGGCCTGATATCTACCAAGACCAGCGTTAACCACAACCTTCCTAAACCTTGGTTCAATTTGGACCAGCTCAATACCAAGTTTTCCGAGCATGGTCTTTCCCAGACAGACATGGTAGCATTATCAGGTACCTGTTCTTCCTAACATTGTCATTGCATTTTTGTCAAGGAGGAACTTTCGACGTGGGATATTTATAGATTTAAAATATAATTTAGTGTCTATATTTTCATGAAGATTGAGTTTATTACAAATTATGTTTGGAAATGTAATGCGCATAGGTGCACACACCATAGGTTTCTCCCACTGTAGCCGCTTTTCCAGGCGTATCTACGACTTCAGTCCCACAAACAAAATCGACCCAACACTCAACTTCCAATATGCACTGCAGCTGAGACAGATGTGCCCTGTAAATGTCGACCCCAGCATCGTCGTTAACATGGATCCGACCACTCCTCAGACCTTCGACAATGCCTACTTCCGGAACCTTCGGCAAGGGATGGGCCTGTTCAGCTCTGACCAGATTCTGTTCACTGATCCTAGATCCCAACCCACCGTTAACCTCTTTGCATCAGACAAAGCAGCTTTCCAACAGGCTTTTGTTGATGCCATCACTAAACTTGGCAGGGTGGGAGTCTTGACTGGAAACCAAGGCGAGATTCGGCAAGATTGCAGCCGCGTCAACTAGATTTGTTTCCCCTTTCCGTTTACCTTATTCTATGTTTTACATTCATTCCAGATGTTTCCGCCTAAGAGATAGACCTCCAGAAAATTCTTAATAAAAGTAAATCAATTATCACTATTTGTTGATTCATAGCAGTTAGTTAATTAGTTTGTTTTATTACATATTAAAGCTTTTGGACCACCAAAAAAGCCAAAGTTCGTTTTTTACATGGAAAAAGGAATTTTCATTTCGTTTGAATTTCAATAAATATTTAGAAACAGATTGAGAAAATAGACTTGACAAATGAAAAAAAAATTAAAAAAAAAAAGGTAGCCTAATGAATGTGGTAGATGGCCTTTTTACAGAAATTAGATTACGCAAATACAAGTTCTAAATTAGAAACAGGTGTGGTGAGTTCCTCTCCTTCAGGAGTCATGTCCTGTTTATGCTTAAACTTTGGAAAAGCCAATGCGGCCGCTTTCTTTCCTGATCCAACGACGCACTAGAGCTGCTCATCGGAGTATTGGGGCCGCTGCAATCCCCTCCTCTATCTGACTTAAACGACGCTGATGAATCCAACTCCCTCACGATTCCTTTCCCAGTGTTTCTTGCTCTTTTCTTACCGGAGCTGCTGCCAATGCTCAGTGTCAGCTCCACCTCGCTGTCTTCATCAGACCCATCAAGGCTCATCTGGGTACTCCTCGGAAAATTTGTAGGCCTTGGCCCTGTTTGGTCTTCAACAATACTGACTTCACCGGAATTATCTTCCTCTGGCCCTGCTACCACCGCCAGCCTTTCCAGATCAAAGCCCCTTATCATTCTCATGGTGTCCCCTGAGCAACTGCCACTCCCTTCCCTGGAGACCTGACCATCTTTCCGATCTTGAAATTGGAAACTAATATTGGAACTACGCGTTGGATTCCATGATTTGTTCTGTTTGACTTCTTTCTTCAATTCATCCATCAGCATCCTCTGAACACTGTACAGTCTGTGAAGTTCTCGGACCTGCAAAGGATTCCCAGTTTCTTGGAACTGTTAATAAAGCAGGCAAGATACGTGACATAGGATTTGAAGTTACAGAGTGATCTTATTACCATGATCAAAACCAAGTTAGAATTTTCAGAGGGGAACATATATTTCATAAATCTTACATACCTGGTGTTTGAAGACATCTTCATGCATCTGCATTGTCCTTCTGATGGACTCCCTGTTGTGACTCTCTAGCATCTTGTGCCTATCCATGGAATTCTGACAGCTGTCCTTCAGTATCAGCCCTCCTGTCTTGAAATTGCTCCAATCATCCACACAACGCAGAGTAAAGTTGTTGCTCTTTGATGATTTTGCTAATGGATTTACTGCGAACTCGAGTTTGGTCCCCATGCCTGAAAATTTGGGGACATGAACAAGAACATGAACACCTTCTTCAACATCTAGTCAAGTGAAATCAAACAGATAAAATGCCTATTTACAAAATTAGCAGCAACAGGACAAAGATTTTTAAATTCTATCTCTTCTTTTATCCTATAAATGGGCTTGGTGTGTTTTACATAAAGGCATTAGAAGATGGAGGTGGAGACAGAGTGTAGTTGACTCAAAGTGGAACATCTAAGCACCAAAGACTTAATCTGATAAACTTGAGTCATCTCCAACATTTCTAAAAGTAAGTGCAATTTCTGGAAACCTGTGCATCCATCATCAAATTCACTACACTTCGCTGAACATATGGACCAACATCTTAGGGGTTCCCTTGACAGGGTACAAAATTCAGGCTATCTTTGAGAAGAACTGTGCAGGCCAGGGACATAAGAAAAGGTTACCTGAAAGAGTGGCTTTTGCAGGATTTAGATGAGGGTAAAATGAAAGTTGATCAAAATTGCATTGAAAAGGGAAGAAAAAGGAAAGGGGATGTGGGCAATAGTGAGACACCCAAAAATGGTTGTGGGTCTCTGCCTTCTGTGCTGGACCATCATCACTAGCTTCAACAATGGTATTCATCTTCAGGAAGTTTTTCTCAAAAAGTGTCCACTTCTTTCTGTTTCTTCCAAAACTAAGCCTTTTTGATAGGAAAGATAAAATCACACAAGACAAACTATTAGACTAAGCTAGTATCCATGTTAAGGAGCATACACATGGCCTTAAGCAATCAAAATTATTATATTTCTCAACAGTAATCTGCAAATAAAGAAGAAATGTTGATTTTTTAAAAGAAACAAGAAACATATGAAATTTTCACTTTCAAATTTTTGCGAAAATCATGACTGAGACTGCAACAAAAACCTGAATTACACAATTCTCTAATAATCTAGAAGAATACTCATGAAACCAGGGGCTTTGTTACCTGCAAGACAAAGATTCCGGGATTGCAAATTTGATATGCTAAGAGGATCATTGAACTTATTCCACACTCATAAGACTGGTATCATAATAATACTTCAAAGCCTGATGAGGAAGCATGATTTCCAACAAAGGGTAGGAAGGTGCACGGAGCAACCTAAGATGAGCTGTGGAGAATTAGAGACAATTAGTGCGTAAATCTGTTAGTCATGCCACAAGATGGGAGCAGTCTTCACTTTTCTTATAGAAACAACAAGGAAATGGCTGCTCTGACTTAAAATACACAATCATGGTCTTAATAATTCAGGCTTGACAGGCTGGGGGAAGGATCATAAAGTCAGGACAACCAATGTATTGTCTATGTGGTTTATATATAATATTATAAATATATGGCATATATTATTATTATTATTATTATTTTGTATTGTGTATTTATGTGTGTTGTGCAAACTGTACAAGAGTGGAGCAAGATCAGAGGAAGATCAGAGGATGGGACCATATTATTGTACAATAGGAACAAATTATGAGGTTCCTAAATATGAGCCTCTAAACAAGATCCAGAGACAAGGTTGAACAAGATCTGAAGATATGCATGAAATTTTTTTTTTTATCTTAATTGTACAATGGGAAGCAACCATCTCTAATATCTAATTTTTTATTTCACCCCGCTCACATGCTATATGATTCGAATTTAGGATTTTTTATTTTCAGCGAAAAAAAATAACCACTGAGTTATTTAGGTCGTTGGCAAGACATGCATGAATTAATGATATGGAAAGTTGTGTTTCTTCCTTACCATAGCACAAGTTTTTAAAATTCTTTTTCTCTTTTTCTCAATTTTTTCTTTGATCATCTCTCCTAATTTCCTGTATCATCGCTGTGATTGAGATTTCATCTTAGTAGAAAATGACAGGTCCTAAGATTCCATACCTGTCATTGTAATTTACTTGAAATATGTATAGAGGAAAATTAAAATATTGATAAAAAGACTTTGCGAGTAATACACTGACTTGTCATAATCTCCTTCTAGATCTTAAGTTTGAAAAAGGACAAAAGAGTTTCACTACCTGTTATATAACTTATCTCTAAAAAAGATAAAAAAAACTTTAAAGTTACTATGACATACATTCTTCTCAAACAACAAGTCACAATCTATGATGTTTTAAGTTTGAATCATGCAGGTTCCTAAGTCATAAGTCGCAACTATCCATTGTTTTGGAACTAAAAACCTTAGTAATTGCCGTAAGCGATTTAAAGACTAGGACAGGTCATATTTTAGTCCATTTTATGATACATTTTTCAAACATACCGTGTAGCAATTAATGATACATTTTTTGACATATACTTGAAAATTCAGTTAGGCCTTATCATTATTCTCTTGTTATTTTTCTATTTCGTCTTTGGGAAGAGTAGATTCTAAAATTTTCCTTGAATGGTGAATTTAAGTTGCCTGTTTGAAACGAGAAATTAATAAAAATCAACGGAAACTTAGAGATCTGAGCGATGGAGAAACTTCCCACGCATATCACTTTCCTCCAAGACCACAGTTCCAAGACATTTGCGTACCCTGTACCTAAACAAGTAAAAGAAATGAAGATGTGTTTTTAACTCAAAGTTTGGATCCGGGAACATCACAGGCACATGGTTCAGGGTAATATAATAAAGACAGGATTGCTTTAGGCTTTAATTAGCAAATTTAGAAACGTGTAATTGTCTTGTACTTGTTTGTGTCTCCTCTCTAAACTTAAACAATGGTCTTTTGACATTTGATGAAGAATCTATATGCCCACTTGCACCAACTTTGATGCCAAAGAGAATTCAATATATTGGAGATATGTCCTCCAACTTTTTAAAAAAATAAACAATCAAAAATCTCTTCTTTTTCTCAAATGTTTTGAGTATTTTTGTACAATGACTTTTTTATTATGAATATTAAATTAATAAATACATATTAATTATTTATGATTTTCAAATTAAAAGAATTAATTACAAAATGATATAGTCCTAAACTAATTGAAGGCGTAAATGAGAATGAGAAGACGACAGATGGAAGTGACGGTATCTTCAAGCAAAGCATGTTTGATAAATATTGGATACAAAGAAAATATGTGCACGCGTTGTAGCCTTTGTAAGGCACAAGGACTAAGATTGTGGGGCCTAAGTGCCTAACCCATCACGCTTTGGCTTTTACACCCTCGCTCCCCTAGTTAGATGCTAAAACTATAATCACAATTTTGTTCATTGCTCACATACATACATACATAAATGAACAAGGAATGATCCTAAAATCTTTCCTCAGATGATGCAATCAAAGTCTTAATTCTTTTAACTGATACATATGTTGTAGTAAAATTTGCATGTTTTTTTTCATACACACAGTTAAAATATTTTAGAATTAACTTGTTACATCTCAAAACCTTTAAGAGTATAATAACGACTGCACTTATAATGTGAGAGGAAGGAATGTATATAGAAATGAACTTAATTTGTGGACACAAAGTGATAGGAAAACACTGGCTGACCACAAAACAGTACAAAAACAACAAAATCAGATAAGGCGATCTATATTGAACGGAAAAAGTTCATTACGTTTGCAGCTGCAATTGATAGGTCTCCAACTACTAGTAAAGCCGAATGTCATTTTCTATCTATATTTAAAACAAAATATTATTTTATAGTATGAATTTTTGAAAAATAAATCTAATTCAGATTGGAAATGATACCAAACACTTCAGTTTCAAAAGATGAAAAAAGAATGTTTTAGCCATTTAGAGTCCGAAACGACATTTTTATTATGTCAATCACACTTTCAAATTATTTTTCTAACTATATTCAAGATTAAATTATTAAAAATTTGAAACTAGTAACTATCAACCAATGAAACTGTAATTGGTAAGTTGCCAATATTTTTATTTCCTCACCTAATGGTGACTTGGATACTAGCCAATGGCGGGCAGAAAAAGTGCTGCCATGATCTATAGATTCATCAACAAAAGGGCCATATCCTATAAATTTTTATATTTTTATGTTTTATAAAAAAAAATTGGACAATTATACTTTTGCTTTAATGAATAAGGACAGGGGAAAGGGGAATATTACCAAAAAAAAAAAAGAAGAGTAAGGACAGGGGAGAGGGGTCGGTTGGGCCGAAACTCATCCTCCAGTCGAGAGTCCCCCCCCCCCCCCCCACCCCCCCCTCTCCTCCCTTCCCCCCAACTTGCATGTTGGCCAATAAGTTATGTGTTCATGGTCTAATCCAGTGGCACCTAGTGGGCAGGGGTCCATGAATTTCCATATAACATTTGTCAAGTCCCATCCAACCATCAATATATATATATATATCTGTCTAGTGTCAAGTGTGTCATCCAACAATTGGAATGGGCAAAATGGCTATATGGCCCCCCTCCTTTAATGTTGTTTTATATATGCAAGTGAGAAGGATATATTAATTGTTCACTTTGTGATTTGACCTAAGTTAATTGATAGGGATTGGTTCATTTAGTTGAGATTCTTTTGGTGGACTACACTCCTTAGGTGTGGTTCATTAAACAAGCAATTGACTATATATGTGTTTGATTTTTTATCCTTTGAGTTGCATAATTACAAGACCTCCTTTTATTTCTTTACCAAATTTACTTGTATATTATATAATTTAAATTTAATATATTTTTTTAAAATTCTATTAAAAAAGGATTTATTACTCTAATGCTTAAGTCGTTAGCATCTATACTTGATTTTTTGGATAAACATTTCAAGTTTAAAGTTATTTTGTCATTGATTACAGTAATAAAATGATACCACTTCCTTGATTATGATATCTACCAACAACAATTTAGTATTCACTTCAGAAATTCCATGACTCCATTATTTTCTATGATTCTTATGTCACATCCCTAGAAAAATCTCTTTGAAAGTTTGCCATGGACTTATTTGGTTACACAAGTCAAAACTTATCACAACATCTTTCATCAAAAGCATCTATTCAACTAATCTAAAGGATATAAAAGTAGCATGTGCTTTGACATAAGAGAAGTGGTTAAGGGAATCAACCTATCTACTAATTGATGATGATGTTTTTGTACATACATGTTTCAATCCTTCTTTATTGTACATAATAATTTTCTATAATAAAAATAAAAGATCGTGTATTCAAGTAGTAACGCATACGTGTAGAGCAGGTACATAGACTAGAGAGAGGGGTTTGTCCGACTATATAATTAAGCTTGATCTTGACAAATGATTAAACAATGTTTTCAATCTTAAGATCAATGATCATAATGAACAAACAATTAGCTTTTGTTCCGTGATTTGATGAAGCAACATTTGAGGTAGCCCTTTACCGAACATGAAAAAACAATATGAAAAGAGCCAGGCAACAGGGTTGGGGAAGATTCTCAATAGCATCATTCTTAAAACCTAGAAAATGTGTTGGTGACGCTTGAGTTCCCACACATTCATTGCATCAGATTCGGATTACGACTTGGCACCCACTATTCAATCATTAACGAGAAAATAATAATACTGCATAAAGGATTTGAGTAATTAAAGCTTATCTTCTCTGGATCCAATGCCTTGGAGCCTTCCCTCTTTTGTTACAACAAAATCTTCACATCCCACGTTGTTCTAGTGCTTCTTCTATTTATATAATTAATCTTTCTAGTTCCTCATAGTTTTTTGTTTTTTATTTACCCCCCTGCAATTATTGTCGCCAAAATCATTCAAAGTTTCTATGCATTTAAGTACAAGGTGCATTTATAAAGAAGAAAATGCTTAAGGGGCAATTTTTATTGTATAATTTTTTATAAAATCTTATATGTTATTTAATGACTAATTCTTTTTATTATATTGAGATATGTGATATTATATAATCAATTCATTTAAAAATATATGAAAATTATAAATAAAAATTATTCAAACAATTTGCTTGTATATAATTACCCTTTTTATATCATCACCCTTCATTTAATAACTTGAATGTGATAAAAATTGAATTTAGATTAGTTGTTTGTTTTGGTTGTTGAAGGCATTGATGGAGATAGGGTCCTTAGCAAAATTTTTCTACCCAACCAATTTATTTTTTACTTAGATGAATTATATTGAAATGCGGCTTAGCTACTAAATTTTAAGTTTGAGTTTGATTACGATATTCATATAGGCATTAGATTATTTAATTTTGTGTTTTCATGCATTTTATGAGTGTATGCAATACTTATGACATATT